AAATTTTGGAACACGGCCACCTGGATGGGGACCGAGTCACCGAACCGAGCGAGCAGGCGCGAGCTGGCCGAGCGCGGCTGGCGCGGCGACGGCGGTGCGAGCATTGAACCGCGATGTAGGGGAATGGTAAATTTCCATGTATGCCATGTTTAGCTAGGCAGACGATGAACAAATAGGAACGGGTATGCACATATCGCACAAGATCTGACCAGGATGGGCACCGAAGCGTGGATCCGATCCGAGAAGGAATGCGTGAGAGCTCTCGCGCATTCCTTCTTGGCTTCCACTTGCAGATGCTCTATATGCCCTGCGTACCTTTCCGTAAGAGCCATAAACATTCCGCTGGTCGAGTGCAGCGAGAATGCAAAACTTTCATGCGAGATATCCACGCGATGTTTGACACATACGGTCGATTCTCTTGGAGCGGTGCCCATACCTGGTCACATGTTGTGCGATGCGTCCATACCTGGTCCTATTTGTTCATCGTCTGCCTAGCCAAACATGGCGCACATGGAGATTTACCATTCTCCCACAACACGATCATCGCGGTGAAATCCGACTCGCACCGCCGTCGCCGCGCCAGCCGCGCTCGGCCAGCTCGCACTTGCTCGCTCGGCTCGGTCGCTCGGTAGGCTCGGTCCCCACCATCCAGGCGGCTGTGTTCCAAAATTTACTCTATCTCACTCTCGGGTAAAGGTCTTGCACGCGTTGCGTTCGAAAACCTACCCGCGTCCAGCATTCCTGTATCTCTCTCGTCACGTGACTTGATCCGCCGGAATAACTCGGATCCATTTGAGTAAGATTGGAACACAAACCCAGATGTCCCGTCTGCTGACCGTGATCTGGCCAATCTGATCTGGCCCACCTTTGGGCGCAGCCATCTTAACGTCAAGTGATCACTAATGTGGCAAACAGGCAAGATGGCCGCAACCGGGGGGGAGGTACCATTTCCGCTGCAGGCCGTGGGTTCCGGTTTACCGCTCTAAAGTAACACTCAAGCTCGTTGGGGTCTCCGCACGCACCACGTTGACAGCAGCGCCACCACAGCTGCCTAACGTCAGAGTCGCGTGTTGGTGCACAGCGCATCGGGGATGACCAACCCTATTCGCGGTGCGAAGTTTGGCTATCGTCGCCTGGTGGAAGTTTTTCACACCCAAAAGTGAGGATGCTGGTGGAAGCACGTGCAATGCCAAGCTCCTATGCACTATAAAAATTAAAACATAACCGCGCGCGTAGCACGCGCACTATACCCAGAGTGAGGTAAACAGAAGCGCTACTGCACCGATGTAACGCTAGTGCAAGCCATGTATTGGACCTACCACTGGATAGGAATTAACGCGGGTCGTCTTTCCGCCGTGCTAGACCTATATAAGCGAACCGTATACCTACATCGCTCCGAACGTTATTTTGAAAGAGAACGAGTTTTAATGACTCATTCACACACGACCACGGTTTTCATACTAAATAGCTCTAGAAGAGCGCTACCGCCAGCCGCATCAACGTGCTTACTCCGCTACATTTTTTTTTTTTTTTTTTACGCCGCTTGGAGCGCTACGGTGACGGACGTGACTTTTGATGTTCATGCTTCGTGATTCGCTGTTCGCCGTTCTGATCGGCTAAGGCCGTAATGTCATTGGTTGCGAAACAATAACAAGATGAATGAGATTCGCCATGCCCCGAGTTTCTTAAGTTGTCAGTGACAATAATAAAAGTTAGTCACGATTCGTCCCACATTGGCACACCGGCAATTCCTCCGCGAGGAAACATCCGTGCTCTGGCAAGGAACGGCAGAACGCGCTCAGCAATAACTGCGTTAAAAACAAAACGAAACCAAAATCTGCGAGGAGAACTTCAGGTTTAAACGGAAGCAAATGTCCCTAGAAAAGCTCCAAATAATTGGCAGTGCGTGGTGGCGGTAGTCAATATCGACTCCACGATTAGGATAGCCCCGGAATCTCCCAGGGAAATTGGATAACACCCAGGTCCGTGGACACTAAAAGGCAGGCATGCATAAAGTGTTGGTAACAAACCAAAAAAAAAGTCATTAAGCAAAGATTTGTATGCCTCCAGTGTTTCTGAAGAAGTGACCAGATCCGACCTTCGTAAGAAAAAGAAAAAGAGGTAAACCGGCGGGCAGTTTCTAATTTTGTCTACGGTTTGCCGTTGCTTTTTCCTCACAGGCCACCTTTTCTACTGCTTAGTTCTTTGTATAATTACTCCATGTTCACTTGACGTTGCGGGGGAAAAACAATGAGGCATGTCTATACATTATTTCATTTTGTTTTTCTTCACTAATGTAGTGAATGGTAGCACCGGGTAAGGAGAAAAGAAAACTGTGCTTTTTTCGCTGTAAAAATAAAGTACGTATCGCCGAACGCTCAGTCTCCGGCCAAATGTAGCCATAGCGGTTGGGACCAGATGGCATAGTTCCAGAAGAAACCCTGATCTGATCCCAAAAGCTATCGGCGACCTTCGAAAATTTTCAACTCGAAAAGGGGAGTGTGCCCATTAGCGTTCGCCCTTCATCTCCATCAAATCGCAGGATCCGCTGGTCGCCCTCATTAAAACTTTCCGAAAATCCCTCACAAAATTTTGAATCGGATAATGGTAACTCCTGAAACTTTGGCATCTGACTCGGACATTTGGGCAGAAACTGAGGGTCCGGCGATGCGCAGTTTATCTTTCCGTTGCAATAAAACGAACACTTTTTTTTTTTTTTTTCAAGTACTCGTTGCATACTTTGTTGGTTTGGAACTTGGCGCCTACTGCAATTATACTGCTGGAATACCGAATTAGCTATCGGCAGTAGCAATTGGTGAGTCAATACCGTGCATTACGACGCTGCTAGAACACGCACACCCGCTGATTGATTTAAATCCTCCGAGCTCCCTTGTCTGACCAGAGCCAACCTTGAGCCAACCTTTCGAGAGCGAGCTCACCCCTAAGTGGACGGGCAGGGGGGGGGGGGGGGGGGGGGGGGGGGGGGGCGATGACGCATTTGTTGAATCAATTGACCACCTCCCTCTGATTCCCCGACCTCGCACTCTGCACGTAGGAATGAGCGCCAACGTGATCATGTGGCAAGAGAGCGACGTATGAGTCATGGCTATTCCAACAAGCACGTAACTTCCACGGGGTGTTGCTCCTCTCGAACGCGTACGAGAAAGATGCCGTCATCGCGTGAAGAGCACGGCACGTGTTACAGCCAACGTGAAGAGGCGAGTCTGTCTGCGTATGCAGTTTCTTTCAACACGTCGTAAAGCGGAGGTACCTATAACGTTCGTGGCAGTTAATCAAAAACTCCCATTAAAGTTCAATTACTTTGTTAATAATACATTTCTCTCCGAGGTAACACACTATAAGTACCTAGGTGTGTGGATTTCAAATAACCTTACTTGGACGCAGCACATTGATTCCGTAAGAGCTAACGCAATTCGTAAGTTGTTCTTTCTCAAGAGAGCTTTGAAACTAGCTACCCCTCCTGTTCGCCTTCTAGCATATAAATCAATTGTTCAGCCAACGTTAGATTATGCTGCTATTATTTGGGACCCTTTCACCACGACGAATATTAATAAAATTGATAGCGTACAGAAAAAGGCCGCTCGCTTTATATACAACAGCTTTGGACATACTTCTGTAACCGAGCTTTTAGCAGGGGCCAACCTACCACCATTAACACAAAGAAATCGGCATTCTCGTCTCAAGTTTCTCAATCAATTAATTAAAGGTCATAATAAAATTGGTATATCTCAACTAGTTTGCTTTTCTTCTGGATATGCGACCAGACAGAGGCATGACTTAACTATAACTCCTTTCCGCGCACGCAATAATTGCTTCAAATATTCTTTTTTTCCAAGAACAATAATCGATTGGAATAACCTTACTAATGATGTAGCTTTCCAGCCATCATTGACATTATTTGCCTCCCACCTTAGTTAATATTGTTTTGTCTCGTGTGTTTTCTTTTTTTATTTCTTTATGTTACATTTTCTATTTTTGTCCTTTTGTGCCAGCTATGTATCTGTACTTTCACATTGTAAACCCACCCTGCTAAAATCCCTGCTAGGGGATTACAGTATTGATAAATAAAATAAATAAATAATAAATAAAATTAAAAAAAATCTTGGCGAGACGGAACTGTCCGACCCTTTACGCAACACATTTCTTTCCATCTTCTTCTCCAACAGCCGACGCGAAACTTCTCCAATCAATGCAGGCCCACATTTCCTATATTATGTCCTCCTCCTACTCCGCTCACCCAAAAAATAAACAAAAAGCGATGTCACCTGTCAAAGTTACAATGAGTCTTCTAGCTTTTATAGGTGATTCACGATCCTCGTAAACATGAAGCTTGGGTGCTGTTACTCGTATTGTTGCTTTAAAAGAAAAAGTTCCTTTTCTTTTTCTTTTTTTTTTCTACAGTTTTATGACTGTGCTTCAGTCATTCGTGCCCCCTTGAGGGCTTCCTAGATCACGGATATCCGTTATGATCTAGTCGTGTCACATTTCGTGCATTCTCTGCGTAAAAATTGACACATCGAAGTTTACATCCCGTGTTAGCGCACCAAGCATGTATGGCCTCGTCTGATTCTGACGTCAGCAACAAACACCAGCGTGTGACGCCAGCAATATTACTGAATCAACTTACAACAACTACACGGGCAGCTTACCCTCGCAACGCCATAACGAATCAGGAATGGGCAACAACCTGTCATTCTCAGCAGGCTTTCATGTTGTCTTTGTTTTTTTTTTTCGTTTTACTTAGATTTTCAGGGAAATTAAAGTTGCCCTTAGGCATTGCGGATTCACCTATGCATTATTGTCTTATTCTTCTCTCAATTGCACGTGACTGGTTTGTCATCTTCAATCTACCGATGGAGTCTCGTTTCTCAAAACTGCTCCGACGATCACAACAAGTTGTTGAAACTTTTCCGTCCATTCATCACCGCGCCAAACGCGCAGAGCTACTGATGTTGCAAACGCAAAAAAAAAAAGCTCACCTTGCACACTCTGGGGTCCCTGAGGTAGTCCATCCTCCTGGCAAACTTGGGGCAACCCAGCAACACAGAGGCTCCTCCACCGCCGGCGACACCGTTGATCCTGGAACAGTGTTCGCAGCACTGAGGCTTGGTGCTCACGAGGCCCATGGCTTTCTCCGCCGGTGCTCTCCACACCCCCGCTTCGCCAAGAACACACGGCACGACCCCGAGGCGAGCTGCCGCGATGACCGAACGCTACTGCCGACCAAGCAGAGGCTCGCGGGCACAGCGGGGGGAAAAAAGAACCAAAGCAGCAGGAGCAACAGACGGCTGGCGAACGTGCGCGCAGCGCGCCAGCGGTCACCAGAACGGGTCAGCGCTGCGCTACTGAACGCGGCCGCCCGACGCAGCCACCCAAGACTCGGTCGGCCAGATCCTACTGTTGCTCGCTGCTCGTGCCGACAAGGCTCGCCCCCTTCTCTCCCTTTATTTCTCCAACGGTGCCTGTCGAGATCACAGCCACCCTCTCCTCGCCGCCACCACTTTATCAAGGACGTCTTTTACTTTTTTGCGTTGTTTCCCCCACTTTCTCACACCTGCGTCTCCTTCCTCCCGCCTCCTCGTCTCCTTGATTGTCTTCTTTATTCCACTAGCACGAGTCAGAGCGGCGCATACGCTCACGTAACGTCGTCACGCACTCCCTGGGGCGGTGAAAAAAAAATAATACGCTATTTTCTTCCCATATGACAACGAGGATGCGTTTTCGAGCGAACCTCAAAATTTACCACGCCTACAGCTCTGCTCAGCACGGTAAACGATCTACGTGAAATTTTCTCCGTTACGCAATCATCTCACTGACAGGCTGCCGATCTCCTCCTGTGTGCTATACTGTCTGCACTTCACGGAATATCCCAAACAGGTCAGAGTGCGACGAAAACAACCCACAGCGGATCAAGTCAGCCACTCCTGAGAGGTTGTTTGAAACGTACCAATACGTGAAATTGCAACTGAGAGGATGTCTTATGTGTAACACACTATGGCCTTAGTTGCCGCTGTGCCATTGAACACCTAAGTTTCTTCTTATGTGTAACGAACGGCAGGTGTGATGCTCTGGCTTCCAATTTTAGTACGAACAAGCATAAAACATGCACAAAAAGGCAATAGTAGCAAGACTGTAGTCGTAAGTGTTCTTCGGAAACACGGCAGCGCCCAGGAAGGGCCTGCCGGCAGTGTATAGGTTCATTTCTAACGGCCGATTCACACATACGTCGCAGCGCTAAATCAAGAGGAACAGCGCTGATGGAGCGCTAACTTGAACGTAACTTAGGACCGCTCCAGCGCTTCAGCGTTGTTATCACTAGTATAGTGCGAAGTCAGCGTCGTATCAGGAAGGTCAGCGCTGTTTTCAGCGATGACTAACACCGCCGAGGCAGCGCTATGGGGTGTAAGTGAACCGGCCTTAAAATTTACCAACTTCCTTCAGCTAATCATGCGAAATTTGAGGCAACAGTTGGTATCCAAAAAGCTAACGATTGCGATCATTAGACTTAGTTGTCACACTATTGACCTTGAGCGCCACACAGTCAACAGTGTGGACACGTGCCTCAATTGATGCATGACTTTCCTATGGGACATGTGGCGATTTGTTCGTGCTCCCACAACGGCTGAACAAGAGCAGCAAACACTGGTATACGTAGCACGGGGAGGGCCATATTGACCCCTAAAGCTGGTAAGGGGGGCTGGCGGGGAAGGGGGGGGGGGGGGGGGGGGGGGAGCTACGCGCTTGTTAGACCCCTCATGCGCCTGTCTCTTCCCTACGTAATCATGCTCTCGCCCATACCCAGAGGGGGGTGTCAAGTGACGAAAGGAAGCCGGCTTATTGGTCTTGCGAGCTTGTATAGCTCCCACCGCACTGTCAGCCTTGGGGCAGAACGAAGCATAGGAGTGCAGAAGATCAGTACCTAGCGAAACTTCTTCCACTACGCGCTCCTATGTTTCGCTGTGCTGCCAGCTACCAGGATAGGAAAAAAATTGGAGCTTGATTCTTCTCATCGCCGCGCGTGGCAGTCCATTTTCGCGGTTAATAGAGGGATGACCGAATGCAATCCAGCAGATAATGCTGAGAGACACGGAGCGGCCAACGAAAGGAGGCGCATATTTCCCTGCCTATAATTGATTAATTATAATTTTAATACTATAATTATCGAGACTTAATTAATTTAAGTAAATTTACCGAAAATTTCGTCCCGCTAAACTTGGCGATCGCGCAAGTCCGCTAGATGTAGCAGCCGTGTGACGGTTTTTCGTGACGCTCTTTTGTAACGTTATACGCTCACCCCGTGGAAACTAGCCCTATCAGTCGATAGCCCGGGGTTAAAATAGCGGAAAGCAACGGCATAGAGTTTTAGTAGATCGCTCCGATACCACTACCCGATATTCCTCCTACGCTTTTGCGCATACATCGTATCGTTATCGAATATCGTGATCACAATCTACAAAAAATCCCTAGTGCAAGAGGGTGACCGAGGCCCTACAATGTGTATCCATCGTAGAAGACACTGCGTTAGAGCTTCCAGAAACATAAAGTGGTCTGATTGGCGGCCAGTAACGCGACACCCAAAATTTACGACGCTGCGATGAAAAGCGGAACAAGCTCCGTGTTAACATGGCCGCCAAGATTCTTGGAGCGCAAAGCTCTCCTTCAGGCTCCGGCCCTTCCAAACATTCGGCTGCGCCTTCTCCAGAGCTCTGCAAGGTTCGTGGCCACAACCAGAGTCGTATATGTAGAGTGTTTGGTCATTAATTGGTAAGAATAAGGCGAAAATAAGGGCACGCCATTGGTCGACATTGTTTCAATGACCTTGAGCGTGATGATTGACAGCTCTTGTGACCAACCGTAAGCCACAAATATTCCCCTAGCGGAGGCAATGAACCGGACAAATACCCTCCAATCACTATTTCTAGGTAAGGATTTGTTCGAGTATTTCATTTCAGCACGCTAGAATTGAAATATGCGACTCTTAGTAACTGAAAGGGCTATGCACGTGACATTGTTGTCACGGCGATATTCAGAACGCAATATATTTTTATTTCCATCGCACTCGCGGCCGCAGCCACGACGGAGTGGACGTCAAAAAGTGCGAATTCGGCTCGTGGGAGTTTTCACCCAACCCCCAACGCGTACCTCACATTCGCAGTTTCGTTTCTTGCTTCAGGAAATGTTTATCGACAATGTCACCTTTCCTGGTTCAGTAAACGCACTCGGCACCTTGAAACTACCCTATTCCACCAATCTCTTACAATTATACATTCATGTACTTTTAGCCTCATCAAGAAACAAAAAAATGTCTGCGCCGGGCTACGCGAATCCTTCGAGGTCATCCCAGCTCATCCTTACCTTGCAAGTTCATCACGGGGGGAATATGCGGTGCTGCCCCCCCCCCCCCCCCCCCCCCCGCCCTCCCCATCCCCAAACAAAGTTGAACCCCCCTCCCCCCTTCTTGGAGGGCAATATTTGCCAAGGGTGGACCCCCGATGCACAGAAGGGAATGGGAGATTAGTATCCTTACAAATTTTCCGCCCCCCCCCCCCCAAAAAAAAAAAAAAACGAAAAAAAAAAAACGGAGCTCCTTCCCATCACACCAACATCACAAAGCTAAAATGTGTGCACACGGCCAAGAGTAGCATAAACAAAAAAAAAAGAAATCCCTGTCAAAGCTAGGGCCCAAGCGTTGTGGCATCAGAGCTCGAGTCTAAAGCGCTGACGCGCCTCGGCTGCGTACTTGTAAAGGGTAGGCGACACACGGCGTGGCAACGCCGCTCGCGCAAAATTGGCTGCTCCTCGAAGAGGACGCTCATAGCAACGCGCGGTCGCTGGGCCGGACGGCAGGTGGTGCGCGCGTATCATTGGGGCTAGAGTTCCTGTATAGGCTCCCTACGGGAGCCAGAGTTGCGCATTTGTTTTCCCCGCGCCGCCACGCCGCTATTCGCCGAGATCCATCACGTGAGGAGCAAAGCATCCGGTGGCGTGCAAGAAAGCCACATTTACGGTCGCTCCGCCGACGTTTCTCTTGCCCCGGCGTATGTTTCCCTGCTTTCCGCCTTCTTTTCCTCCTCTCCTGCTTTCCATGCGCGGCGGCGCGCGCGGCGCCGCTATTCGCCAAAGTTAGTCACGTGAGGAGCAAAGCATCCAGCTCGTGCGGGAAAGCCGGCGCTACGGCCACGCGCCGAGGCTGAATGCGCAACTCTGCTACCGTAGGTAGCTATACAGGAACTCTAATTGGGGCACGTTTTAACCCCCCCCCCCCCCCCCCTCCCCCGTTGATGCTGCTTCGCGGCGACGTTTGGAGCGTGTATCACTTGAGCGCGCGAATGAGCGCCGAATGAGCGGAGGTTAAAACACGCCCCAGTGATACACACGCACCGTCTGCTGGCCGGCGCAGCAACCGCGCGTTGCTATATTTATTTATTTATTTATTTACCCTTAAGGTTCGAAGACATTACAGAGGGGAGTGGGAAATAGAAAGAAATAACAACAGGCAAAATAAGCAGTCATATATAAAAAAATATAAAAAGTTAGATAGAGCATCTCTAAAAATGCATAGGTCATCAATGGTGACCATGTCATGAAGAAGGTGGTTCCATTCTACAGAAGTGCGCGGAATGAATTAATAAAAAAAAATGCATTAGTGTTGCATGGAAAGACGCCCACTTTGTTCTTACGATATAAACGACAAAATATAATATGGAGGGGTTAGTAGATTGTGACGCATGGCCGGATTATGATAAATTTTGTGAAAAAGGGACAGACGAGAATATTGTCTTCGTAAAGCAAGAGTGGGTAATAATAACGATAGTTTCGTGGAGGTTACACCAGAAGTACGGTGGTAGCTGGAAAGTAGGAAATGTGCGGATTTCTTCTGGGCGGCCTTTAATGATTGAACGAGGTATTCCATGCCGGGGTCCCAAACGGAGGCTGCGTATTCCAGCTTCGATCTAACAAGTGATTTATAAAGAAGAAGTTTGAGAGATGACGGCACAGAACTAAAATTCCTTCTTAAGAAGCCTAGCATGCGGTTAGCATTGTTAATAACATGTTCGATATGAATATTCCATGAAAGA